ATGTAAAGACCCCCCTATTGCATCCTCGCAATAATTAACAGTTTACGCCCGAAGGTGCAATTTGCAGTGAAGTTAGCTGCGATGCAACGCGATCATCCAAAAGTGGCGTCCTAACCTCTCCGAGCCAATCCACCAATTTTTCTGATTTCGGATACTTAGTCTCGGGATATTTTATGTATAAAAGAAATTATGAGAATTTCGGGCACGTCGGGAGGGTTGTAACGTGAAAAATGTGGAAAATGTGGAAACTTGGAAATCAACCCTGACCATGCTGCAGTTGCGACCGAGCGAGGGTCATCTCGTTATTGAGATATGAGCTGTGCGTTTTGTCGCATTTTATTATACTTTAAGGCATCTTGTTGCATTTTCCTACGCCCCGGTAGAACTGATACACCTGCAGATACAGGTTACACCTGCAGGGGCGCCCCTGGTGGCAGGCCAGGGCACCTCGGGGACCCGAGCCAGCCAGGCCACCAGGGAAAGTGCATAGCTGCATGGAGTTGCAACTTGCCGAGCTGCTGTAATGCATTAATGGCGAGCACGGGGCGGTGGGGGAGAATCCTCTTATATAACCGCCATATTAAAGTCCTTTCTTGATGGCGGAGGCGAGACAAAACCGAGCGTGGCATTTCGAGAGACCCGATTGCAAAAGATGCCAGCCGCCTCGCTTGGACACATCGGCCCGATACACTTTCGGATCTATCTTTCGGGCTTATCAGTCGCTGAACGGACTCTTATCACTGCGCGAGACCGCACTGTAGGTACACCTTATCTCGTCTATCGGATCCTACTGCAGGTGCCTCGCAGAGTTACAGAATCCAAAGTGGACCTCTCCCTCTTGAATATAATCATGACCCGTCGACGTTGATCCGAAGAAATAAAATCCAAAGTTGATCCCCCCTATGTTGAAATTCCCCCTACCTCAAGATCCACCCAAATAAAGTCTAACGTTAAATGCGAATTTTAAAACAACATGGGAAATCCTACTGTGACAATTCACGATCTGACGACGCTGCCGTGAAGGAATTAAAGAACGAGATAAACCCGCGTTAAAAAAAAATTTATTCCACATCATTTATCGCGTGAAGAAATGCATGTCGCATGACTGGGACACTCCGACATAGGCGAAAAACGAGGAAGTTGTGCGTTTTCAAACCCCCTCTCCTTTCTTTCCCAATCGCCCAGGACGGCGACCGCCAGGAAGACGCTCGGATTGATCGGGGCGACGCGCTGCGTGTTAATTATTAATTAAAGGTTGTAGGAGGCCGCATCACGTCCGCGACCTCCGGCCGCGAAATTTCAGCGCCACTAGTGAGATAGAAGGGGGAAAGAGAAGGTCACTGGAGTGAGTCTAACCTATCGAGGATGCTCCTACATATTATCATTTGCTTTCCTATTTCTTCCGTAAACTTCGGAGATTAAGGCGGTATTAAAGTGGCGTCAAAGAGGTCTCGTTTCTTAAACTTTTATCCGAACCGGGTGTACCGAATCATTTCAAACTTTACAATGTGAATACGGAGGCTAAAGGATCTCCCCTATACCCATGAAATTTCAATTTTTGTTATGAAAAAAAAAAGAAAAAAAAAATTCACGCACGTCAGGACCTTCTTTAGAGTCTCCATATCCACGTGGTAAAACGTCAGAAGATTCGATATACCGAAAAAGAGAAAAATGCTAATTATGACCTGTTAATCGAATAATGGGGATTGCGTTTCCGGCCGCAACCTTCGACGTCGAGATTCAGGAGCCTCGTACAGGTGGAGGGAGGGGTACAAGAAGGCCACTCGAGTTCGTAAACTGAGCACTTACTCGAGGATGCACGAGAGAGACGGACAGCCGATGTATGAGAATGGACATACGAGAATGGTTTTCTTAACGAGGGGAACTATTCGCACCGACCTTGGAGAAGCGTCGTCCATAAGCAACACCTTCGACGATCCCGAAGATCGTGAATCATTCCCGATGACTATTTTTTTTATATTTCTCTCTAGCGACCACGTTGCGCTAACGCATCAACGACCTCGTTAACGAACATTAACGACAACGATCGTTAACGAACAAGACGGGCATTTAAATGCCTCGAGACTTTGGAAATCCGTGACTTTTTTTGCGCTTAAAAGGAGACGCTAAAAGGTGCCTCAATAATTTATGCATAATATCAGAAAGCTGTATTTATATTGTATACGTACACCCTGAGAAAGCACAGATTACTTGACTTTTCATTATATTGTCGACTGGAAGAATTGGTGTTGTTGATTGGAAATAATTTTGTTTACTCAATCTGTAATTCCTTTCGACGTATTTGATGGCAGGATTTTGTTGTAATGCATATTCTTGTGAGTCTAACAACATTTTCTTTCTCGGTGCATATTATATGGATACGTTGGTAAATTAGTTTACGGAATTTAACGGATAATCAGCGAAGTAACTATCCACACTTTGAGGGTCCTTAACTAGCATTCCCCCGAGAGCAGGAAGGAAATTAGCAAACTCAAGTTACCGAGTTACTAATTCTAGGTACATTACACCGGATTCGAAGAATCGCTAATGGTCGACCAACTGAGATCACCGTCGAGATACGTCGTGGCTCGAAATGTATACCTACGAAAGTAGGAAAACCGGCAATGACGAAAAGCAACGCACGGTACGAAAGAAGTATCGAGCGCGACTTAATAGCAGTTAATTAAACGAGTCGGAGTGACGAAATCCGAGGTCGGATAGAATTTTCCGTAATAACTTTCCTCGGTTAAGAGACCGGGTCGAGCGTTTAAGGTGAAGTGAAAGACGCCGAGAAGATTGATCGATCGACATCGATAAAGAAAAAAAAAAAATTCTGCTAAATACTTACATTACCTATATTTTGTATTTGCTAGTATTAGGTTGAGTAATAAGCTTCTGCCATTATTAACGTAACGTAACGTAATTAAAACGGCGAGAACTTGTGCCTCAACCCTAATATACTGACAGCTGTGTCGAATTATATTGGGTATTGTACTAATTGGCAAATTCCATACGTAGTTTCCGTACACAAATTATGAAGAAATCGAGATGTAGCTCCAAAATCCCTTCGATTCGTGGTTTTTGGTGCTCTAATTGACTGCAGAGTGCCACCCTGCGTCATCTGTGATTTCAACGACCGATTTGAAGGCGGTTTCACTTCACCTTAACGACCATTGACGAATCCGTATTCCACAAAGAACGATCGTTGCTGGCCAAATTGCGGCCCGGTGGAAATTTTCCGTAGAAAATTCCTCGGCATGCAATTGCACAGCGTTGTTACGCGCTACTCATTAAGCGAATTACACGGTCGACGAGTGTACACGAAGAGACAAGAGGACGCCTCCCTAGAAAATTTCCTGAGACTACATTTAGACGAGGAGCTCGAGACAATACCGTTCTAAATACGAGAGACGTTAAATAAGAAATAAAAGCCAATTACAAATAATAGTAAACGTTACAAGGCATGACATTTAATCCGAAACGGTGAATTATTAACAGTTGAGAAATTTTCCGGCTAAATCGGCGAGAGGAGTTTGCGAATTGAATATTGAGGTTTCTGTAAACCGGAGAAGAGAAAGAGAGACGAGTACCGGCGGCGATTACGTCGGCGAGTTACCTCGACGATTATGCTTACAAATTACGTCGGGAGGAGCTTCGCGTTCCTGGATTCGAGAGGCGCCTAATTGACCATTAACGGCGCGCCATTAGACTTATTGAAAAGGTCCACCCAGACAATAGGTAGAAAAGTAAGTGAAGATAAAACCCAGATAGGAAATATATCCTGACTTCCCCTTTCAAGTCCCTTAAATCATCCGGAAGACGTTCCAGTTTCCCGACACAACCAGCGCGTCCGATAAATGGAATTTCCTGGCACATTTCTTCTCGTCCCACTTGTCGCACCCCATGGCCCCCCGCAAACAGGGCAGAACGACCCTCTATCCCGCAAAGCCAGGGAAAACAAACCTAAATCAACTAAAAGGTTTGCTATCTCATTCCAGGATAACACGGGAACAGTGGCTGATTACTCGGCGGCTCTGATGATTTTCCAACCGGCGTGGAGAATCGTCTTCGTGACTGGGAAAGGCCTAAATCTCGAAACGATTTTCGCGGATTAGCCGAGTAACGCTTTCCGGCTGGAGTTGCGTGCAAATCGCGACTTTGATTTGCGAGGGGATAAAAAAAAAAAGGACCCGGACCGTTCGACGACCGAGAAACGTCACCTGTCGACCACCTTGTGTCCTTAATCCGGTAATTCTTATCATTTTCGAAGCCACGGACATACTTTTGACCGTAAAAAAAATCCTCGGAACAGGAAAATTGGATTGCAAAACTGACATGAAAAAAATGCAAGAAAAAAAAATACGGCAAATGAAAACGGGAATTAAAAAAATTAAACTCTGTTTATCAAGGCATATATGAAGGTTTATCAAGGAGTGTATACAGAAATATACAGACTATAACAGAATTCGTGGCCACATTTTATACACCGCCATCCTCGTCGAAAGTGGGGTCAAAAAGTCCCGTACAATTTTTTTTTTTATACAGTGCATAATTGACCCATAATAATTGATTAAAAAATAAAGCACCAAAACCGATCTGGATAAAAAAAATCACGCAGGAGACAAAGCGCAGTTCTGATTAATTATTCACCCTCGGCGCGTTGACTCGTCGCGCTCAGTGCGACACCTGCCGCAGGCAGGTCAGCGCGGCTGATTCCGCACTATAGGATATACCCCATTTTTTAATAAATTGCTCCAGACAAACCATACACCGTAGAAAAACATTCTCCAGGACTTTTCGACTTCATTCTAAACAAGGATAGTAACGTATTAACAGTGGCTACGAATTTCGTTACATTTCATTACGTTTCATTAAATCTCGTTGAATCTCCTTAAACTTCCATAAATCTCCTTGGATTCCGTTACATCTATTTAAATATCGTTACACCCTGTCCACACTCGTAACACGGGTTAACGACCACTGCCCTAGTTCGTACTCACCTACGTAATCCGGCGGCGTAAAAAAACCCGAACACACACGGTCCCAGCCGAGGGATGCGTTGAGGTCTCGCGAGTGCGCGCGCGCGACTGAGTCGGCGCGTCGTCGGCGTCCCGTCTGCACCCGCCGGCTCTTCCGTCGACAGTGAAGGGCGAGAGCCACCCGGTCCGTCGGCGCGCCGCGCGACGAGTAGCGTTGACGTTGACTGCGGCGGGAGCGTAGCGCGTGCCGCGCGCGTCCGAGCGAGGGGATTGGCTGACTGACGGCGGCGGCGGCGGCAACGACGGCGTGCCGTTGACTCTTTGACGGGCGCGGACTGGCTGCCAGCGGCCAGGGAGCATTGCTTTTAACCGGGCCGCCATGTCGCCGCCACCACCTCCCGCCGAGGCGGTCTTCCTCGCGTCCGCCCGTAATTCACGTGCTCCCTGATCGACGCGTACTCCTCGCGTGACGTCACGGCCCGACCCTTGGCCCGCGGTTCGACGCGAAAAAAACTACCAGCTCGGGAAAATCCTCTCGAGTAGGTGCGAATGTAGGCAGAGTACTCGCAGATAGTACCGTACATACGCGCAGGTGCCCCAGACCGGTCGCGGCAACGCAGACGGCCGGCTCGCGCCACGCCCGCGACGGCAAACCTCGATAATACACCCGGGAAAAAAGTAATACATGGCAGGCAATAAAATGTTTCCTTAAATAGTATCGAAGAAATATTTTCCTTCCCTTCACCTCAACTCGAGGAATTATTCAATTGAAATGAACTCATGTGAATCGTCGTGATTACGAAGAAATGTAGCGTCCTATTAATTCAGGGTTATGGTAAAATCCTGGAATTAATTAAATATCACACTTCGAAAATTCCTGGAATTAATTAAATATCACACTTCGATACTGTTCAATGAAATATCGCTTTATATATATATAAGTTTTTATCCTCAGTGTGGTAATGGTTTTCGTCACTATGACTAGTTACTCTTATGGGTTATTCATAGCGATCATTCTTTTCGTCACGTACGATAAAAGTGCACTTCTTGTGTCGGAATATGAGAGAATATGCCGGGATATTAGACATTTTGACGACCTTCCGTAACCCTCGTGGCAAAGGTAGTGTAGACAATCGGCTCACTCCACGCCCGCGACAGAAAACCTCAATTGTATGGATATCGTAAAGTTACGTCGATTTCCGTTAATTTCTACCCTAATGCATGATTTCTTGCATATGATGTTTTTCAAAGGAGGAAGCGACTAATAGAAACGTTTCTCATCGTTAATAAGTATTGCCAATGATAGTCGTAATTTTTTTGCATTAAATGCGGCAAGTGCGCACGTCTTTGTATCGGAATAAATGAAAAATATTCCGAGATATCGTTACCGGGAATTTAGACGAGCTACCGTAACCCTCGCGGTGGATATTGGTTTCATACTTTCGAAAGGCATATTTACCTCGCTATCTGATTTTATTTTCCAGGTGCAGAAACGAACGTGAGCTCGTTTCGACCCGTGTATGGCGATCGGGTGTTCGAATCCCCGGAAACGCGGGAAATCCACGGCGTGCGGTCGCGCCGGGAGTATAGCCGCGGCGCTGGAGTGACTGACGCGCCGGAGCAGCCGCGACGTCGGTCAGGGAGATTCCTGCCGCTCTGGGAGAGAATGCATGCGTTTTCCCATTTCAGGATTTGTTCCATGGGGAGATAAATAATCGTGACGTATGTTCAAAGGGGTGAAAAAACTCGCCGAACCAGGGCTAATCCTTGGACATGCACTCGCGTGGAGGTGCACTGTAATAAAAAAAAAATATATAAAGGCCACTCGGACATGTTTTCGTTTCGTTTAGCCCCGCAAGTGATTGTTGGGAATGGAAATATGTTGTAAAACCTTAAAATAAACGCTGTTCGGCATATGAACCACATCGATCCCACTGTCCACTTTGATCGGTATAACTTTTATCGATGTACCTTTCTGATTTCAATTTAAATATCAATAATTAACCGAGAGAATAGCCATATTTCATATTAACACGTAAGAATGATATAAATAGTAGTTTGTTTGGAAAAAAATAAAAATAAAAGACATGGCTCACTTTTTTTACCTACGCTTTCATATCTTAACGTGCGAATTTACACTACCGTGACTTAAGAAGAACTCAGGAAAATCGCGTACAAGTGAATAAAACGCGTTAAAAGGACGCCTGGAATGTAGGTTGTGGAAAAAGAGATCCAGGTAGATCATTTATTAATTATGGAATTGAAAAACCAGTCCGTATTACGTGCGTCCGACGCACATTCCGTGACGTTAATCGGGGGACCTATCACGCACCCCCAAAAAATCCCCTGCGAGGAAATATAGTTTCGTCTTTCTCATTTGCACAAGTCTTTTATTTTCCTGTTCTGGCCTCTTTTTGTAGGAAAGTGGACGACTGACGTCGTAAAGAGGAATTCCTAAGGCCGTGCTATCCTCCCGGAACGGGGGACCAGCCTAAAGCGTCGATCTGACGGACGTCATTAAGCCGGCCCACCTGTTTATCAAGTATGCTCTAATAATTCTGTGAGTTTCCATATTTCCCCAGGAAGGCATTAATTAGGTGAATCCCCCAAAATCCTCGGTTAGATCATCCAAGATTTCCTAATAATTATTTAATCACTCTACACTAGGAGAACGAATTACGGAATATTTTCGTTTCCTCGCTTCCTTTTCCCATTCTCCCGCATTAATTCCGTTTTCTCCCCGCCATATGCATTTCTTCGATTATACTCCAAATTTTGCAGTGCTCTTCACCCGTTCCCATGCCTTGCGTTCGTACACTGCTAAAAATGCCCATGAAAAAGTTCCAACTCAAATTTCCAACATTTTTAATTAAGAAGTATTGAAAAGTCCAAAATTGCCGTAAATATCGACACCTCGGTGAAAATCAAGTTTCGACGTACCGAATTTCGATGTCGGTTCGGAAGTCGTGGTACCGAGGTTCGGTACTTTTTGTCATAGTTGCCGGCATTTCAAACATCCCTATGCTGAGATCCAGGGTATCTGCGGCGCCTCTTTCTTTCCTGCTCCTTGGACACGGTTTTTTCATACTCGTTTTATTCCCGATTTATAGTGGCTAGGGGAAACCGGTCTTCTGCGCAGGATGTCGTCCTGCTCCGGAGGACTTCCAGGGCGCGAAGGTACAGGACTCGGTGTCGATGGACTCGCGAACGAGGAAGACACTCCAGAGAGGAACCATCCTCGTCCTCCTTTCTGGAAGGACTCAAATATTCCGGCGGCGCTCGATGTTTCTCGCAATTCCTTCGGCACTCGGTTGTGCATTGTAACGCCGAGAAAAAGTGGGAAAATAAGATCGCAGGAGGAAGAAAAAAAAAAAAAGGCTGCGGCGTCTGTTCGAGGGAACTTACTGCCAGCCGGCCGCAATTTGCTCTTTCCCGGCCCCGAAGAAGCGGCTGCAGACGGTGCATTGTACGGCGAAGGTCGCAGGATCTGCTTAAAAAATTATCCTCGACGAGCGCATCCTTCTCCGCGCCTTTTCCTCTCCTTCTGCAGAACGGCCCGATCCGGGATTCCAGTCGGAATTAATTCTCCGCGATAAATCCGATAGCTGATTAGTGACCGAACGGTCTGATTTGCATGCTAGTTGGGTTCGCTCCCTCAAGGAAACTCGGGCCCATTGCGGATGGATTCTGCAATTCATTATCGCGGTCGTCGTTAAAGGTGGCCTCGATGATTATGGGGCTCATCTGATTAGGCATTAAATAGTTAAGATCGAAATGATTCCATCCACCAGGAATAATTTGGAACTCTGAAATGACGTCTTGCACCGTGGTAGAATTTCGCCTTCGATTAATTTGTCGCTTCCTTTTCCCGATTGTTAATTCCACACAAAATTAAAATTCAACTGCGAGGTTAAAGCGCCGATTTGTTATGCATAGGAAAAGTTGTGAAGCTCATTTGATTGGACATTAAATCGTCCACGTAACAAAGTAATTCACGCAGGATCGCGCCGTCATTGTCGCAACGATTTTCATCTTACTTATAAGTAATTGAGAAAATGCATATTGCACATACTGTTTCTAATCAAAAGTTGCATTTTCGATAAAAAAAAAACTCGCTTCTTCCGTATCTTGATCTCATGTTTGTAATTTGTTTGAAAAAAACTTTTAACGTATCCAAATGAATTCCATAATCAAGATGATTTGACGTCTCAAAGGAAATAAAGTCATGTCATAAATGACTACCGTGATGAGGTCAATCGGGACCAGCACCTATAAAAAAATATATCCAGACCACGGCCCACTCTACAAGTTGCTTCTTAATGGCCTTCAAGAATACTTATCAGTTATCGCCTCGATTCTAAAGCTGAAACTAATTTGTAGAAAAAAAAATTCTTAACATAAATATCTCAAAATTGTCCTGATTGACCTCGTTTGACAGTACTGATGCTAAAAAAAAAATAGTCTTATTTCTTGAAATTCAAATTCTTGACTTATAGCTTGAAAAAAGTAATCTTATTGTCCGAGTTCTCTTGACTGAATGGCTTCAAAGACGTAGTCTTATTTTCTGAAATTCGAGATGTCACGATATCAAGGCCTCGCAAAAATAGTCTTACTTGGCGGAATTCGAGTTGTCAAGTCATTGTTTACTCGAAAAATCATCCAGAGAAAGAAATCATTCCACGGGCCGGAGTTTTGGGGGAACCCATCGCGTAACGAATAAATTAGGGAGATTTAAATGCGACGTAAGGCGTATCGAAAAGTGAAAATATTCCAAATCCGATGACGAATCATCTCGGTAGCCCGCGATCCGTAACGGGAGACGGCCAATGTATATGTCATTGCCATTGGCAGAAAAACACGAGTATGTGCTCCGAGCTCGCATTTTTCCATCGGTGCGTGATAAACAATCGTTTCCGTGACGCAACGCGCATTAATTAGGAACTACCGTATCGATCGATCAGACGCTTTAAAAATTCGAGGACGGGTCAACGCGTCATTAAGTCTCCCCTTCTGAAAAAATTCTTTCTTCATTTTCCGCGTAGCTTCCATCCGTGCGACATAAATCATCAAGTATCCTCCCGAGTACAATACTTCTTCCCTCCCGTAATTAAACATTATTGCCATAAAATGACAAACAGCTAGAAAATATTCTCCCGTGTTACCATCATGAGTATGAAAATTAATTCTAGTGGGTAATCGCAGGAGAAAAGAAAAAAAATTCGCTCAGTATCGAGTTGCGATATCTTTCCGCTTTTTTGTTCTCGCATTCGACATAAAGAAATACATACATTTATGGATGTGTAAATAAAGTACCGAGACAGAAGTTTTCTCGGGGTGAATAATGCTTAA